AAGTAGAATATGTAGCAACTGGCTATAACGTATGTTGCGGTTCTTGGCATTTCACATGTGGCCTGGCAAATACTTTAGCGAATCTAGTTGAAAAACTAGGTCTCTAATTTAAGAAAAGCCGCGGAGAGGCATACTTTAAAACTTACAAACAACGTATGCCTTCTGACTACTAAAGAAAACAGCAACTTCAAAATGTAACAGCAGGGAAGTGGGGTAGAGCGATATTCCTATAAAACATTTTATGGTCTTTTGCAACAGTTTTATGTTTGCAATATTTAAGAAAATAAATAACTAAATTACCAAAAGTTACACTATTTAATATAAGCACACGTAAGATGACCGAAGCTGTCCAATGTTCAACACGACTACGTTATGTTGGCACTGTTACACGACTGTTTTGACATAATGAAAACTTGGACGCCTTCAAGTTGTCTCATTTGTTATATTTAGGAAAATTCTTGTGAAATGTGCTTAGGTCAACTGACATAAGCTGCAGGATTAATGGACAAAATTCCATTACAGAGTTCATTGTTCGTGTTATGTTCGTGTTTTTTTGTTTGTTTTTGCTATAGTGTGTACTCCTTTTACAAGCTGGCGAAGCATGATTATAATTAATTATACTTGTTGTAACAAGTGGATTATATAAATAGTGTTTTTTTATCCCATTCAGCCTTAAGAGCTCTGAATTGAGCGAGACTCGTCGTCAGTAATGGATATAGCGAATATAGTGTGGTTGGAATACTATTACGGTGTTTCAGTACGGTTCATAAACTTTAATTTCTTGCCTTAACAGTCTTGATCTTGCTTCTAGTTCAATATCTGAACCTGCAATCAAAGCATAGTTTTGTAGTATAAACTTATCAGATTTAACTCTGCTTTCAGCTCAATATCTGAACCTATAATGAAAACAGAGTTTTGTAGTTTTAACTTATCACTGCTTCTTGTTGAATATTTGAATACATGGTTCCAGTAGTTCTGTAATAGTTTCTTAGAATAACAATATTGACCCTACTTCTTGTTAAAGTTATTTCAACCTTTGATCCCAGTAACGTTTTGTAGTTTTATCATCTCTCTCAATAATATTGAGCCTACCTACTCCTAGTTCTGTAGGTTAATATTAGTTACTATCAACTCTGGTCCAGTACAACTTGACAAGATCTTTATAATAACAACACTTTATCATTATACTTAAGCCATAAGCAAAGGTGTGTGTTTGATAGTTACGTTGTTTTATTCATACACTTTATTGTTTGGTTATTAGAGAACTTTGGTTGTTTTTTTAAGTATCTCATTTTTTGAGCTTATGTTGTAGTAATTTTTCTTTAGAGTGACCTATGAAATGGAATATGTCATGCCTGTACCAAATTCAACTTTGCCGTTTTATGAGTAATGTAGTTTTAAATCAAATAAGACATTAGTAACTCCATCGAATATAATACTTTCATCACTTTTTATACTTTAACAACTTAAGTTAAAGTAATTAGCTATATGTCATCAAAAAAGAGGTTGAAATTTGAATTTAAAAATAAAACTGTGATAGAGCTCTAGATTTCGGAGCTAGCGAAACGGATTCGAATACGTGCATTACCACGTCTTGCACTTTAAACTGTGTGTGCGTCATAAGAGTGATATCCAATTCTTTAGCGAGGATAGTGGGTGCTACTGACTGGCTATCTTTCCTCTGGTCAGTAGTTCAAAATTAGGGACGGTGGTAGATTGCCATAGTAACTTTGCCAAAGTGTATGAAACATAAATAAAACAAAAACAAAAAACAACTTCGGGAGCTAAAGTTACTGACGTCACACGGTTTGAGATTCACCTCAATGTGTTAAGAAATTGATATCTGGGAAAAAAATAGTGTGTAAATATATCTGTAAGATATAATGGTGAAACAATAAGAATTTATTTTCTTGTTAGTTAGAATACTTTTAATAAAGGTGCTTAACAAAACGTACATTTGAACTTTGCCTAATGCGGTATACTTGATTAAAATGATGGTTTCCTTCTGGAAACTTTGCTTTAGAATTGGGTACTGTCTACGAAAGTCGGTGTCATTTGGTCATTTTTATCTTAAGTTCAGTGTAATTGCAGGTGGTTTGAGATTCTTAGAAAAAATGTGTTTCAGAAAGCGACTAAGTCCATATGAACTCCTATCTGTCAGGGTGCTCGATTCGCAATCTGTTGGTCGTGGGTGTTATAATGGTGTTGACCCAACTTTTCGTTGACAAAGAGTAACTCATGAGTTGGCAGTGTGTGGTGTTGACTAGCTACCTTCCCTCCAATTTATAATTTTTAAATTAGGGACGACCAGAGCAAATAGCCCTCGAGTAGCTTTGCGCGAAATTCAACAAAACAAACAAACCCCTGTCAGTAATTATAAATTTAAACAATTTCTAAATATATTGTGAAACTGGGATAAATGTGTTCTACTTATCCAGATATAAATAAAAGCAGGTAGTAACGGACGTTTCTTTTTTATAGGTGGTTTATATTGGATGACTTACTGAGAGAACAGTTTAAAATGTCTTAGCAAGTATTACTGAAACTGGAGAAGCCTTTTTAATTGTTGGTGAGTTTTGAAAACAATGCCACTATTTTTTATCAGCGCTTGACTGTGTGTTTTACTCATAACCATTTCATTGCTGGAATCGAGACATTTTATTGCCGACAGAGAATTGTAATCTGATGGTATAAAACTGTTTCTTGCTTTAAACTGGACTACTGCGTGTTTTTTGTTGAAAAATACGATGTCTGGCGACAGTATATGTCATTTTTAAACAGTTCGTGGACTTAAGAAAACGGTAGTTTGAAATGAGCTACGTTGTTTTCTTTCTTTTTTTTTTGACTTTCACTTGATTACACAGCTGACCATGTAATGTAAACCGGTGAAATGATCAGATTTAAACTATGGTAGAGATGGCTTAAAATCTGGATCCGCCAGAAACATATATATATGAATATAAGAATGCGTTTGAAAAGAATATGTTTCCTAGGTGATCACGTGTCTCCTATAAAATGGAGATAGTTTAGCAAGTGTACTTTAACTCATAAAACAGAATCTTATAGTTGAAGTTATATCTTCAAAAAGGGACAATTAAAAGAGAAAGAAAAAAGAGAAGAGGGCTCACATAATGACCTCTTCGTTTTTCTAAATGTGACTTGCACCTAACGTTTATTTGCTTCCTAATATATTGAGCTTCCAGTGGTTCAGCGGTAACTCTCTACAAATCGAGTTTCATTGCCCATAGTGGGTGCAGCGCAAATAGTCCGTTGTGTAGATTTGTGCTTAATAACAAACAAACGCAAAAACTTGTATATAACAAAACCATATCTATCTAATAAAAAGGCAGGATAGAGTTTGTCACAAATAAATATAAATCTATAAATTTCAAACCAAGTTTAGACTTATCGGCGAGACTATGTCTACCAGCAATATAAAAGAAGAAGGAACTTATATGGTGGGTGGTATAGGGTTCTGCTGACTGGCTGCCTTCTCTCTGGTCAGTTGTTCAAAGCCAGGGAGGAAATTTTGTTTGTTCGCTGTTAAACGTTAAATACAAAGCTACACAATGAGTTATCTGTGCTCTGCGTATCACAGGTATCGAAACCAGGTTTTTAGCGTTATAAACCACCAAATTTACCGCTGAGCCTCTGGGGACGTGGCATGACGAGAGCAAACAAAAAATAACTATAAAAGTAGGTCTTGTGTCTCAGAAGATCAGAGGTAGGTGTGGATAAAATGCGTACATAACAATATTGTTTGTTTCTATGTATCAGAACAAACCACTGTGAATTTGTATGGATCTATATAACTGATTGTAGGAAGCAACAGATAAAGACTAAAGATTATTAGAGGGTTTTCTCCGATCGTACCTGTTCAATGGGTTATTTTCTCTGTATCTACATTATAAACAGCTAGAGGCAGGTTAAATTTTTACTGCACAGAGTAATTGTAGGACAATTTCAACTAGTTTAGGATCAGGTCTCTCTATAAATAAGGAAACAGCGTTTAATCTCAGTAATGTGTCTTCCAACAATCTATAAAACTTTAATCTTTAATCTATCAACATTAAAACCAAGATAAGTTTTATTCCCTAATTTGGCAATTTTAAACTACAAAACTATGTTAATTTCAGCTAAATATAACAGCTCAAAACTACAGAGCTATTGGGGCTGGAGTCCCTTTTATTTTTCAGCTCTCCAGATGGCACAACGGCAAGCTTAAAGGTTTATAGCTCTAAAATTCAGGTTTCGATCCTGAATTGCCATAGCACAGCTAGCCCATTCTTCAGCTTTACACTTAACAATATATTTCGCAGGGCAAGCGGTCATTCCAAATTAAATTTTTAACATGGTTTCTTGAAGTAACAAGATAAGTCTAATGAAACCTATAGATCCGTGGTTTTTGTGTTGTTTGGCGAAAGATGTGAAATATAAAGTTTTGTTTGTACAAGGAACTGAGAGTGTGCAAATGTTGAATAAACATTACAGGAAGCATATTCTTCTAGGTGGCACCACTAGATATTCGCACGTGCTGAGAAGATGGAAGCCAGGTGTGTGACGTGCACGACTTTCGTTCACGCACACATAAGAAATGTGCGTGAGACTGTAGACCCCCCATACAATTTCCAAGGATATAGTTTCACAATATTTGTATTTACTTTTATGTTATGATATCTCTAATCTCACCCACGCCTATACCATTTAAGCGTTGACTCTTCTACGTGTAGTAGTGATTGCTCAGGAGAGTTTGATTGTGGTTTCAGGTTGTTACACTATAGTGTTCTATTAGAAGCTCTCTTTCTATATTTAGTGACGTAAAACAATGTAATTTCCGTGGTATATATCGTTCACAGACGTATATAGTCAATTGAATTGCAGATATTTATAAAAGAATGACCTGAAATATTAGCGATAATGTCGTACGTGACCTCTTCACGACGAGATTACTTAAATGTTTCAACTTATTTTCTCACTGTTATATTTTTGTTTCTGTTTAGTTCAACACGCAGCACCAGGGTTGTGTTAGGTGTGTCAACAGGGCAGTCTGTAGGAAAGGTGAGTGTCATCGTTGATTTTTTCGAAACCCCAAAAATGTTACTTTCCTGTATTGCTTCCTAGATTTAATATTGAATTATTTTTATTTGTGTAGTTAATGATTAAAATTGATAGATAGATTTTCCAATCGTATCTGTGAACCGTTTCGTAGAAAAAAAGAATTTATAAAGAAGCCTGAAAAGTTATAACCTATTTCAGACTTTTTTATTTAGCTTATATGAATATATATGTATATATATATATATATATATTCAAAGCAATGGTCTAATTTAGATGGCATCAACTTGTGTTTACTTTTTTACTACCCATAGTTCTGAGCTGTTGTAAGTTTGACACACCCCTTATCATATAATGCAGTATAATTACTTTATGATTTTAGTTCGAAATGTCAGATACCCGATTCATAAGAATGTGTAAAAATAGAGAAACAAGTAACATACTCATATTGTTTAAAGCTGGAAAGAATGATTTCGTTGTGAGATAAATTAACAGTAAGCAACTCTTGCTTGTCTCAACAATTCCTTTAAACCTATTCATTACGTATAGAGATTACGTCAGATTTGATGCACAGTATCTTCTACAGATAGATGAGTTTACCTACACGAGCTTAGTTCTGAGAATGGTTTATTTGACTAAACAAAAATGTTATTATATCTAAAGAAGGAAATTAATTGTAAAAATTAAATATTTCTAAAATATTTTATTTATTGTTTTCGTGGAATTCTGGGAAAAGACCTTGACTTACAACTTAACGTATAGACACACACACACACACACACACACAAGTTTGTTAATCGCACAGAAACATAACACGTTCTTATTTCGCCGGTTTTGTCTCTCAAAAAGCTTCAAACAGCGGCTTGCGCATCTCTGTGACGTCAAGAGCTTATCGTGTATACACGAATCACAAACGTTACTACTAAGCACTTATGTTCCTGCACTTTGACACGGCTACAGAAATGGATCCTAACCGTATTTGTGGCTAAAGAAAGTGGTAATGCATAAAATATTTTAACTGTTTTAAATCTATCTGTCCACGCTGGTCAACTACTGGAATAATACCGAAAGTAATAAACTATGTTCCAAGTCTTCACTAATCACTCTTGACCAATAAAGATTGGGCATGTCACCAATCTAAACAAACAGCATGGAAAATGTATAGTGAAATCGTCAACTGATTATTCCTGACGTAGCATATTCAACGAGTAGCATAACATTTAATCAATAATCCATACGTAATTTAAAAGCTGTAATGTAGAATAATGTCCAATGTTTTTAATATATTGTTCTACTATTAAAAGCAATGTTGAAATGTAGTTAATGTATAATATAACTGGTTATTGTAGTTAAATAATTTCCAAAATGTTATCAATATTCTGAAGAAATTTTCATAATATATTGCCATAAGTTTATCGGTGAATTTAAAAATGCACTTAACATTCCTCGAACTTGAGTTGTATGTTATAAATCCCTTTAAATGTTTAGCAAGAAACATAATTTAATTCTTATGTGCTATATGTATAAGTTCATAACAGAAAAAAAACAATACAATATATAGTAATTGTGTTGACGATATGAGAAACTAGAGATCACGCACTTTTCATCTTAGTTTCCTTACAGTACATTTCATTTCCTTCATGGTAACAGTTCGATAAAATTTAGGGGTGTTGTTACGAGTCACGTTGTATACAGGTACTCTAATATTATAAGCTGTTTAGAAATGTTATCTATGTAGATCATCCTAGAGAAGACCAAACAAAGTGAAATTACAAAGTGCAATTGGTGAGGACTATATACGGAATGAAGAACTTTCCATCTGAATCTCTTAATCAGTGACGTTGTGTGACGGACAGTGTGGGACTTGACATTATAATATTGCTGGCAAATGTAAAATATTTTAACGCTGAATTGTTCATTACATACATCATGAGAAAACTTGATCAGTGCCACATATACACAGCCTTGCCACCTTTCTTCATTAAGTATATGATTACATTATACTCTTCATCACAATGTTACTCGCATTTGACATTTTGTAATTGTATTGCACGCCATCTAACATGGAAACACATAACGTATTATGCTTCTAGAAGCGGGAGGATATTTGGTTGTTTAATATAATGCAGTTTACGCATTTAGTTTGTTTGTAGTTATGCACAAAGCTACACAATGGGCTATCTGTGCTCTGCCCACCACGGGTATTGAAACTCGGTTTCTAGCGTTGTAAGTCTGCAGACATACCGCTGTGCCACTGGGGGGCACACATTTAGTAATCTTGGATAAGAATATTTGCATAAGTAGCAAATAAATTTGAGAAGCTCACAAATAATCAAGATTTTGAGGATTCGGTTGACATGAACGAACTGAGAATTGTATGTGACGAATGGACTAGACCCCACCAGATGTATAACAAAAACAAAATTGTTATTACACACTCAACATCATCTAGCAAGATGTTAAAAAATGCTAGGTATTATCATATAAAATTAAAGTGAAATGTACTAACTAATTTAATGGAAACTGAGATAACTGAATTCACTGCTTGAATATAAAGAAAAAAAACTGTCAAAATATACACACTGGCCTGACTAGAGTTTCTAGAAAAACGTATTCATTGGTGAGGGGGCCAAAGGCCAATTCCGGAGAAAAACAAAAGCAGGTTCCACACTAATGAAACCACGGAATTCTAAGTAAAACTTGTTAACCCTCATAGAAAGAGAACGAAAATAAGGACGAAATGGAAAACACAGTTCTAGTAATAATAAGATACTACTATATCTTGAGAAATAGAGGCACTAAGAATTTAAACGTTTAGGCTGTACATCTATATTAAGATGTTATCGGATTGTGGAGTTATGATACGACGGTGACACACTGATATTCAGTGAATGAGAAAGAAAAGTCCGTTTTTTTCTGAACAATCTTTATATGTTCGCAGTGATACAAATACCCGTTTGCAAAATTGTGTAAATAACTGGATTTTTTAGGAATATCAACATATTATCTGTAGTTGTTAGCTATGCAATTAGTAAGCACCGTTTCCATTTCTTCCATGATAAAAACCGTTTTGCTGAATTTTCAAGCTTGTTACCGAGAAAAGTTGAGTAATATTAGCAATCAAAATAATGAATGAGATTATTTTTATACAGTGTGGTAAATCAAACTTCTGTGTGCGTTTAGCTTTGACGTTGTTCTTGAGGTGTTTGAATGACTATTGTATGCTGTTTTAACAATCCAATATTCTTAAAAGAGGGTAAAAAATATTAACACATTGTTGGAAACGTTAAAACATAATTCAGTAAAGACATTCAAAATATCGTAAGAGGAAGTTAGTATTTATTTCTTTATTTCTGTTAGAGAAACATTTTAGAGCAGATAATGTAAAGAAAGTATCAGTCCTTCAATGCTTCATATATCAGTGCTAGGTTTCTTTTACCTGCTGTTTGTTTATTTGTTGTGAAGCTACACAATGGACTCTCTGTGCTGTGCCCATCAGTATTGATACCCAGTTTTTAACGGTATGAGTCCTCAGATTTACTGTTGAGCCACTGGGGAACAATTAATCATCTTCGAAATGAACATTTTTACATCTTCCACGCATACAGATAATTTGAGAGTGGGTTATTAAATGTTATTTATTTTTATTTGAGAATACACATATCCAGATGTTTCCAATATATTTGAAAACAGAATAATGTAATATGTTTTCTTGGTATTTTACTGTTGAAAACTTTTATGTAAAAACTGTATTTAAAACATTAACTAGATTACCCTGTGTACTTGTTTGTATAAGAGTGGGCAACTGAATAGAAGACTAAACATTAAATTGGAGCTTAATTCTCCTGAAATTTACTTGGCTAAACATGCTTATGTATGTTTTAATGTAGAAAAATTGTTCACAAGATAAACTAATTATAAAGATTATTTCTGTTTTAGCTCAAAACCACACAATGGCTATATGAGGTCTGTCCCCCCAAGGGAAATTGAACGCCGGATTTTAGCGTTGAAAGTTAGTAAACAAATACTAGTTATATAAATCCCACTTCCTTTCTGCAAAAAAAAAAAAAATAGAAAATATGCTTCTCATTGGGGCTCTTAGATTTGAAAAACTTTGTGCTTGAATCTCTATTTTACTTGTTTCTAAAATTATAAGTTATTTAATGTTTTTCCAAAGCGATTTTCACTTAAAAGTTTATGAAAATATATATATAGTTTGTTTATTTTTCAGACGGGGATTCATTTACTTTTTATTATACATTTTAACAATCATGTGCATTCGTGATTTTATCGTTTTTTATTCTCCCCATTAGCCCTAAAATAAAGTTGATTGTTGTAATAACTGCTGGAAGCACGTGTAATGAATGTTTTATTGAGAATATTTTATTTCAGTGCTTTTCGTATTATAAAAACTCAATTATACCTTATCAAAACTTTGAATTTTGAAGACAGCTATCGCTAACGTAATTGAATTATTTTGAGGAAATGTCCAATTTATTAAATGATGCTTTTCAACCACTTCGTTTCAGAAATATCTAGGTCGAATTTTTATCACAATTAACGCACGTCAACTTTCATTCTAGACAAAATTGTTAAAAGGTTTTACACAGTATTTTTATATTCTTTCCGAATGAATTTGGGTATGAAAAGTTAACTCAAACGGAAGACATTATAAACAGCAAGTTCCTCCTACTGTCCTCCTTTTAGCTCACATGCTGTAATTAAAACATATTTCAATAAATTGTTTGTTTTTTGCTTTGCCGCATTGTGTAAGTATGGCATAATCAGCTAGTTTAAATTCTGCACTGTCATGTTGTTTCATCATCCGAAATAAACTTTGTATCTCAAGAGTTGTTTTACATATCCTATGTATGTATACAGTGATGGCTTGAGTTTGAAAAATAATTAGATCTTTTTTTATCAGCGTTATTGTTTTTATGCATGTTACAGAAACTTTCAAAATAAACATATTCGTACGTTGTTATAGAATTTAATTTATTTAC